GGGTTTTTAATAGTCAATTGGGGATTCAAGTTCTTAATGATTTCATTTCAATTCATTTCAATACAATAATTCTAAAATTGCATTTTTACATTTCAGTTGCAGATTTATTTCATTAGATTAGTGAAATTTTGAAATTAGGGTTTCCAATTTTGAAATTAGGGTTTTCTTTGCAATTAGGGTTTCGAATTGGGGATTTCTCCCAAAATTAGGGTTTTCATATTTAAACCAAATTTTCATTCAATTAGATTCGGTTAAGGTCACATTAATTTAATTAGAGCTAATTTAATCCTCGTGGGAACGATACTTGGACTCATAGTCCACTTTACTACTTGTTAACGAACCGTACACTTGCGGTGGGTTTTAAAATCGAGAAGAAATAATTTTGCGAACAATCGGCCTGCGTATGGAGCAGGGCTTTGTAAAATTCCTTAGGAGAAATGTCCACTAAGGGTAATACGTACAGCCTTAGATCGGTCTGCGTAGAGAGCAGGGCTTTGTAAGATTCCTTAGGAGAAATTTCCACTAAGGGTAACACGTACAGCCTTAGATCGGCCTGCGTAGGGAACATGGCTTTGTAAGATTCCTTAGGAGGAATTTCCACTAAGGGTCGCAGCACTTACGACCTTGGATCGGCCTGCGTAGGGAACAGGGCTTTGTAAGATTCCTTAGGAGGAATATTCACTAAAGGTAACACGTACAGCCTTAGATCGGCCAGCGTACAAGGCTTTGTAAGATTCCTTAAGAGGAATTTTCACTAAGGGTCACAGCACTTATGACATTAGATCGGCCTGCATAGGGAGCAGGGCTTTGTAAGATTCTGACAGAATGCTGAATAAAATGTTCAAAAATAGGAAGTCTTTTTTTTATTGATGTGATTGGCATTAGAAGCGAGTTTTATGGACTTTCCCGTTCACCGATAGAACTGCTTGAGGTGTTTGGCATTCCAAGGATGGGGTAAGGGTCTACCCTCCAAGTTTTCCAGTTCATATGCCTTCTTTGGCAAGACCTCTGTCACCAGATAGGGGCCTTCCCAGTTTGGACCCAGGCATCCATTGCCTACCTCTCTTTGTGAGGATCTGACCTCGAATACATATGTTCGGATTGCATATGTTCGCCATATGCACTGTCGGGGGGTTGTGTTGATGATTGGTACAGGCTTTCCACTGACATCTTTCGACGAGCTCCCTGTTCTCTTAGACTTCATCCACACCATGGGGTGTGGAAAATTTGATAGAATAGTGATATAGGGAAACTGCTGCTCTCAGGCTGAAGAGTAGGGGTTGTCCCATCATAGCATCATAAGGGGAGGGAGTGTCGAATACCACGAATTCGGAGTTTGTCTTCACCTGCCAGGGTGCTGATCCTGACTCAATTTTGAGTTTGATTGATCCTTTGGCAGAGGTCAAGGCTCCGCTTAATGCTAGGACCATATTCAGGTATGGTCGAAGGAAGTTGGCAGGGATACCCATCCATTTAAGGGTATTACTGAATAGGATGTTCGGAGCGCTTCCTGTATCCACCAAGACTTTGGGGATGGTTACCTCGACCACAGGCAACGAGATAACCAGAACTCTGGGGTAAGGATGTGGGTCCGCCTCCTTCTCCTCAAAGGACAGTTGCTCATCTGTGGCTTTTTTGAGGTTCTTCTCAGTTATGTCGATCTCCGAGAGATTCGTAATAGCTGGTCTTTTCAATCTGGCCTCCCCGACTTGCATGTTCGTCCTGCCCCTTAGCATGTTGACTTGTGGCCTTGGCAGGTCAACATTGCAGGCCCTTGCAGCAGCTTGATCCCCTTGAATAATTCCTGTCCCATAAGGAGTGGGAAATTTCATACAATAATGATAAATTGAGGTGGCAGCTTTCAGTTCGTGCAAAATGGGTCGTCCCAATATTGCATTATAATTGGATGGCAAATCGACCACCACAAAATCTGCTAGGATCTTTCTTTGGCTAGAAGCTTCGCCCAGCTCCATGATAAGGACGATCTGACCTCGAGCTTCAATAGGATCCCCAGAAAATCCCTGTAGTTTCTTTGGATATGGTTGGAGATAGCGTTCTGATATTTTCAACTGCATCAAAGTTCGTGAATGCAGTATGTTGACCGAACTTCCATTATCTACCAAAGTTCGATGGACTTTTACTCCAGCAACAGTCATTGTAGCCACTAGGGCGTCACTCTGGTCCCGAAGGATTCCTTCAAAATCTTCTTCAGTAAATCAGAACCATTTAGGGTCTATACCGATCCTAGGGGTTGGATCCCAGTAGTTCGACATGGTTCTTGCACTTCAGGCTTGTCTTCGTCTCGCCCTTCTGGATCCCTCAACATACTGATTTCCTCCCACCATCATCTTGATTTCAACATGTGAGGATGGATTACGGTTGGGGATTGCCTGCTGAACTTGCGTGGGAGGCCCCTACAGCAGCAGCTGCTGCGTCGTAGGTCGATCTGCTTCTTTGGCTTGGCAACAAACTCCTGTAACCGACCTCTTCGAATTAGGGACTCAACTTCCTCTTTTAAGTCCCGGCAGTTATCAGTGTCATGGCCCACCATCCTGTGATATCGATAGTACCGTCCCTGACGTTGTCCCGCCTGTCCGTCCTTTAGGATCATGGGTCTGCGAAATGCTTCTTTCGCATTAGCTTGCGTGAATACCACTTCCAAGGAGGCTTTTAGTGGGTGGTACTCTCGGAATTTGTATGGCTGAGCCCTAGGACGTTATCTTTCTCTCCTGTCCTTCTTTCTTTTAGGCTGGGGACTGTGACTTAGTTTTTTCTCCTTTACTGTGTTGTTGAGGTCGGGTTCGGAGGTCTCCTCCTCTTGGTCAGAGGTTGCTTCTTCAGCACTTATTATTTCTCATGATAAGTCCTTGGACCGTCCTCGTTTACTGACCACCAGAATTTTATTCTGGGCCTCAATCTTGCTACTACGGCCATGAGTGCCGCATCGTCAGATATATTTTTCACTTCCATGGATTGCTTGTTGAACCTGCTCAGATAGCTTTTGAGGGATTCACTTCTTCCCTGCTTGATGCTCACTAGTCGTTCCTTTGGCGTGGTTCTGGTCTTGGAGCCCATGAACTGGGCCAAGAATGCCGTGGCCAGAACATTCCAATTCTTTACCGACCTCTCATGCAGTCTCTTAAACCATCTTTGAGCTTTGTCTCCTAGAGTCAGGGGGAATGCTCGGCACATGATTACGTTGCTTGCCCCTTGTAGTTCCATCTACGATGTGTATTTGTCAAGGTGGCTGAGGAGATCACCATCCCCTTCGTATGCGGCGATCTGGGGGATTTTCAATTTTTCAGAAAGTGGTTTCATAAGGACATCCTCGGTGAAGAGGGAATGTCGTTTGGTTTGGTAATCTTTAGTGCCACCTTTGTTTTTAGCCTCCAGGTCGGCGATGTGTTTTTTAAGTGCGCTTAGTTCAGGTTCTGCTTGTTCCAACGGACGTTTCAGGTCGGCTTGTCCTTGCGTAGGAGTCAGTGATTGCTGGGTCCCCAATCTATCGAACACGCTTGCAGTCCTCCTCTCCTCAGGTTCCTTACTTCTGACCTCGTCAGTTCGGCTTCTGGAGGATTCTCCCCTTGAAAAGTGGAGAGTCCTCCTGGTGGGGGGACGCCTCCCCTGTGTCCTTACGGGGGATTCTACCTCTGTATCTGGTGGGGACGAGTGGACTTGACTTCTTTCCAACCGTCCCATTGTGTTCGTCAATTTTTCCAGGGCTTCCCTCATGGCGGTCATTTGAGAGTCCTGCCGTCGTAGAGAACTTGGTGGTGTGTTCATTTCATGAGGGTGGGTGTGAGATGGATTTCTGGAACTTGAACTACGACTCATGGCTCTCCAATTTTGTGGAGAGAATGAGACTATTTTTCACAATTAGGGCTCTCATTCTAGCGCCAAACTGTTGACGTCAAATTAGCAAGGCTAATCTTAAGCCAATTTTAAGATTAAAGGGCGATTTATTGTTGAAAAAAGATCACAAATTATGTTTAGACAGTGTAATTATGCCTTGAGTTGTTGTGTGAAATCACTTACCTTTTACAAGAGTCATATTCAACTATTTATACATAGTTTCAGCCGAAATTACATCAAATCAGTCAAATCAGCAACAGTGCCGAGCTCAGAACTTGGGTCGCCGAATTCTCCTATGATTGGTCAATGAGGTTGATGGTCATGTGTCAATGTGTTACCCAGGTAATAATGGCGTGCAAGGGGCTGGAGTTCGAGGACTTAGAATTGGTTGTTCCGGGCGGTGATGATGTCACCTGTGGCAAGTGTATCTGATTGATAGGGTGATGTGACAAGGGGCAATCATGATGTTTTTCTGAGATAACGGCGGGTTTGTCCAACCTGGGACTATGGGCCGAACTTACATTTAACTCAGGTGGGGTTAGCGAACTGTTTTTATTAGGTCGGAGTTCGAATGTCAACAATTACCCCCCAAGTCAGTTCTTCCGTAAGGGGGAGCTGACGTTCTAATTTGACTGGTTCTTTTTCTAAGAAATGTAATTATTACTATACCAAGCGTCGTGCCTGAATAGGGATGAGTTGTGCAGCACTTTTGGATTGCTTCTCCAGGAAGTTTCATCAAAACTACGTCGTTTTGACTTGCAAGTTTCTGGGCCGTTTGATCTTTCCCTCTATTTTTGGATGAGCTGTTCAAATCGTGTCTCTTAAGTTACTCTTCCCTTAAATCCCTTTTCATTCTTCTTTTCACTGTTTCATTTTGCGTGACTCTTCTCTTTCAAAGCTTTTGGATGAGGTTAGGACATCACGAAGGGTTTTTTTTTTGTTTTTTTGCTAAGTTGTCTGTTGCAATGGAGATGTAAAAGGCCGATGATATTAACATATAAAAGGAAATGAAAACTTGAAGAATATCCGTACTTCACTGGCATGAAACAACGTTCGTGAATTATAGTTAATAAGCATTAATATTTGAAAAATCTTTACACGAGGATGGAAATTTTAATTAACAAGAAAATGATATTAAAACTGCTAAAGCATTGTTGTTGAATCATAAAAAATTGGGATCATTATGTCATCCAATACATTCAAGAGACAGGAAAACATTTCCCAATCTGCAAAGATGCAATTGTTTAGGTTGAGATTAAACGTCTACTCTACTATTTGCTGGTTTCCAAATGACATGCAATTTAGCTTCATCACTGCTACACAATAACAATACCCTTGATCTTTCTATCCCTGATGATGCTCCGTGATAACAAATCGAAGTCAGTTTCATAACCTTCTTACAAACATGCTTGTATAATTGAGCTGCCAAATGGAATCTTACAGTTTTTGGACCGTACGTATCTGCCATGACATAGATTTTCTGGTGGATAATATATTTGGCGAACTTTATCACATACATACCGCAATTGTGGCTGAAAATGAATGTGGGAACAAGGAAAATATTAACTCAAGCTAATATCCAACTTATTGTCAATAAATTAACATGTACTATATCTCACTAAACTTGACAGATTGTGATGATATAACATATGAAACTGTGATTGTCACATGTGTAAACTAATCTTTATTCAATTGCTAATATACTCACCCGTAATCGTCCTGAGGTATACCAATGTGGCGAATCTAGGATTTTGAGTCAGCACGGACGGTCGTTGATTGTCGACCATCAGCCGCAATAAAGTAACTAAAGCCCGTTTGATGCCCTTTTTTTTCTTTTTTCTTTTTTTTAAATGCATTTTCAATTTGATTTCATGGAAAACGTGAGGTCAAAAATAAGAAAAATGTTTTGAATTCGCGTGTAATATTATTTTATTGAAAAATGTATAGTTAAAAATAAGATAGATAAAAATGTATTTTGAAAAAAAAATGAAAATAAAACAAAGCCTAAAAATTTAAATATAACAATTATTTTGTTTATATTGAACATATAATTCTGTTATAAGAATAAACCGTATATTCACCAAATGACATTGTTGTCAAGTATCGTATAATTTAAAGGAAGAGCATGATTTTGAATCTTTATAATTTTATTAAACTCAATAAATGTAATATATATTATTTTGTAGAAATTAAGTGCCAAAAGCAATAGATGCCACAATGGTCAAGCTTTCAGTGTTTATAATAGGGGTTCAAGTTTCGAATCTCATCCAACTCTTTCCTATTGTATTAATTTTGGTAGTTGTTGTAAACTAAAAAAATTGCACAATGAATTGGCTGTGAAGAGAATCGAAACTGGGACTTGCAAAATGTAAATATAAGCTCTAATCACTTCAGCTAGAAGGAGAATTTGGAAGAAGAAAGAATTATTAGTAATATAACCTAAAACTTTAATCTATTGTCAGCCAAAAAAGGGGCAACTGGCGGGCCGCCCTAGCTCACCACTACCTAAATCCACCAACCATCTTCAATCTTCACTAAATTTTTCATTTAACTGGGGGGCCATTTAGCAGACAATTTCATGTTCCAAATGAAGAAAATAAGTAAAATACTTAGCAGTGAAAAAAGGACTTATATCAACAATATGTAAATTCCTTTCTTGACATATAACTTACACGGTTTTTATCCCTGGCATGCCATTTTCAATTTAGATTTTACCTTAAATTACTTGTAAGATTATGTAATTAGTCAAGTAGCATAATAAAAAATCAATACTCGAAGAAATATCACTAACCTGTGGAATTTCATGTTGTACGAGTTTCTTTTCTTGGAGCTCGAGTCAACGGCCCCATTATCCATTTGCCTCTTACCATTTTTACTTGATTGCGAAGTAGTATTCTTAACTGCATGGATACCATTTCCAGTGTCACGAATAGAAGGGGACCCATTGGGCTTGCTATTTGAGTCGGACAACACTGTTATCGATCGGGTAATTCGACATGTGGGAGTCTGCATATTCTCATTTTTTGGCTCAATAATCTCCAGTGACTTCGAACCTTCGCCGAGCTAACGGATCCATTTGGAACCCAAATTTAAGGGACCTTTCCGGGTTTCCATCTGAGTGGTATCTTCATCACATGGTGTGCTATCGCACAGAAGTTTGTTCTTGCTTGAACCCATTGTTAAAATACCCTTTGGTGTTGTGAGAAATGAAATTAGTTGGTGTGTGAGCCTTTTTTATTTTTTTTTTGCCAGTGCGCTTTGTGTGGAAATGGCTCAATCCACTAATAGGGTTTATATACAGATTGCAAAAAATCCCCGAACGGCAGAATCTCAATACGTATGGCAAAGTTTGTGATGAACCCTTCAACTGAGATAGGAAAAATGATCGAATTTGTCAGATTTTGGGAGGGGACTGTAAAGTTTTTCACTGCTATTAGAGACAACATTTTTTACCAAAAAAACCCGCTATTAGCGACAACATATCCGACAAAAAAAACCCGAAAATATACGAAACTTATGCGTTGCTTTTACATTTTATGGCAGAATTTTTGAAATAAAGCTAAGATTTGAGGATGAAGAAATCTAAGATTGAGATGGTTTGGGTGGGGGGAGCGGGGGGGGATCATTTGAAGGAGAAAGTTGATATGGATTTCTTCAAAGATAGATACGTTGATTTGGGAATTTTTGGCAAAAGAACCAATAGTATTATATGAGTATTTATTAAAATGGGAGTATCGGGTGTAAATTCATGAAAAAAATTAAGACCTAAAGAAAAACTTAAACAATCATGCTATGGGTACATTGTGGTGTCCAACGGGGTGTCCATTCACATCGGCATTGGCCGAGGTGCCTGCCACGCCGAGGCCCACCGACTCCTTGGCCAATACCAAGGTGCCGAGGTGTCCATTTTGGACACCCCGTTGGACACCTCGATGTATCACAAGCATTATTCAAACTTAAAACCCATAATGCACCTATGCAATCCTCAAACCCAGACACCCCCACCCCCTCCTCTCCACATGTCTCTTAATTACTGGTGGAGAACCTAGAGTGTATTTACCCCTTTCTCCCGAACACACATATCATCTTATCAACTTCTCCAAAGCTGCCATTTAATCTCTCGTCTCCTTCATGTCCTCTTCTTGAATGCTTCGCTGAATCTCAAGTTAAATTCCTCTTCCTCTTCCTCTTCCTCTTTCCTCTTTTTCTTTTCCTTTTTCTTTTTCATTTTTTTTTTTGCCCTTTTTGGTTTTGATTTGTGGAATAAGTAAGCCTTGTCATTTCAATCCCTCTATTTTTGTTTTGCTTAAAGGCATATTTACACATGTTTGAAACTAACAACGGGCTTCTTCGTACTGCATTGTGCAAACCAAAGGTAGAAAAATTAATTGATTTTGTCGATGACTAAATATGACGTAGCAGATTTAGAACAAATTAACATGATTTTGTTGGAGTGGTTGCTGAAGTTTATGAAAATCAAAGGCTAATTTTCTTAATATATATTTTAAGTGTATTAAAACGGATTCGTTGAGTTTGACCTTTGAGAGGGAACATTTGTCCCATTTATATATAGGCCTTTACAACAAGAGAATTGGTCTCCCAATGTCACATTAGCGACGATGTCAACTTGAAGTGCGTGCCTTGTCCAAGTTTAAGTTTTTTGATTGGTTGTTGAGGTCGACCAATTAAATTATTATTCTACCTAAGTCATAGTTGTTATTTATATCATAATTATGTGTCACCTAGATAATTATTACTCATTTCTAATTGGAGGGTTACAAGGTATTGGTGTCATAAGTGCCAATTGTCACTTTGAGTGGTCGTTCAGGTGATGATGATATCTTTAGGAGATATATGTTCAGAATTGCAATAATGATATAGCGATATGTCGAGTTGACCTGACGTTTTTTTTAGTCCATCCTTTTTGAAATAGTTAACGTTTTTCATAAGCCCTCCTTAAATTGAGGTGGTTTCGAGGTGGTGGTGACATATACAAGTGAGGTTTGTTTAACTGTAAAAGAAATTAGTTTTCCTACTTGATGATTGATGATAGATTTAACTATCAAGGGTATTTCTAATTGTTGATTGTTTTGTTATGAATATTTTAAAGATAATTTATGGTTAAAAGTGAGCTTTTTCGTAATTTTTAATTATATTATTCTTTTGACATTGCATTAAACCTTAAAATTAACACACTTGAAAATGGTTCCTACAAATTTTTTAATATAAAAATGTTATTCCAAGGAAGTGCGCTAATTAGAGTATATCATTGCAGCTTGATTTTGTTAATAGTGAATGCGCTGCTTGTCGATAAAATAATAAAATAGTGAATTGTTGTTGCCTTGTTGAAATTTGTTTGAATTGCTATTTGTACGTTTAATGAATTTTTATTGTTGTTGGAGTGACGGATCATTTATTTATTTATTTATTTTTTGCGATTTTAAAAGTTTACAAATGAAAGGTCGACTTCCTTTCAAGAAGAGTATGAACTTATTTTTGCTCTTTCTAAAGTTAAATCAACATGGTGAAAGTACAAATTTTTAATGGATTGATCGAATATCAACTATCAATTCTTAACCTTGCAACATCATTCTATTTCGTCTCCAAAAATTGAATATCCTTTTGAAAATGGTTCCTACAAATTTTTTAATATAAAAATGTTATTCCAAGGAAGTGCGCTAATTAGAGTAGATCATTGCAGCTTGATTTTGTTAATAGTGAATGCGCTGCTTGTCGATAAAATAATAAAATAATGAATTGTTGTTGCCTTGTTGAAAATTTTATGAATTGCTATTTGTACGTTTAATGAATTTTTATTGTTGTTGGAGTGACGGATCATTTATTTATTTATTTTTATTTTTTGTGATTTTAAAAGTTTACAAATGAAAGGTCAACTTCTTTTCAAGAAGAGTATGAACTTGTTTTTGCTCTTTCTAAAGTTAAGTCAACATGGTGAAAGTACAATTTTTTAATGGATTGATCGAATATCAACTATCAATTCTTAACCTTGCAACATCATTCTATTTCGTCTCCAAAAATTGAATATCCTTATCCTCGAATCCTGCATTGTAACCATCTACTAGCATTGAATGGGAAATTGATTTTTCATAGTAAGATATTTGTACTAACGGTACCACCATGCTGGTAAGAGGACTCGAACACGGAACCTCAGCCAGCAATGCCAATGTCCTTACCACTAGAGCAAATAGACATCGGCATGTACACTTGTTGACTATATTGACAATTGATTGAGAGTAGAAGGTCGGATACTTTTATTATGGTAACTAATCGTCTAGTATTGACTTTATATGTTTTTACAGTAATTATCGAGTGAACATTTTCTACAATGAAACATGTGAAGACGAATCTTCATAATAAAATAAAGAATGACTTTTTTTTTCTGATTATATGACACTTTTCATCAAACGAGAACTCAATGAGAAAATAGATATAGGATTTATGTACATGAATTTTATGTTTCAAAACCTCCTCAAGACAACTTCAAATTAGATGAAAATTACATTTATTGTTATCTATGAATTCATTATGGGGATAATTGCAATTGTGGTCTCAGATCTTTCAAATTTTTACAGTTTTTTATCTTAGCCTTTTATTTATTGCATCCATGATACCAACCCTTGCATTCCCATGCGATGGAAGAACATATGAACCATTTCTATCCATATGTCCGTTAATTGACTAGAAAAATTAACTTAGATCATATTTTGATCAATTTTAAAAAGATAAAATTGTAATTTTATATTTTCTCATATAAAAGAATTAAATAAATAAAAGAAGAAAGAAAGAAAATAAATAAATAAATAAATAAAATTAATACTTCATTTTCTCTTCCCCAACCATCCCCAAACAAATCAAATCATGCCAAACCAAAACCTACCCCACCCACCTCCAGAGTCGACCCTGAAAAATTTGAGGCCCTAGGCGACTATGTATCACGAGGCCCCATCCACTTGGCAAAGTGCAAACCAACACCTAAAACTCCCTCACCCAACCCCCTTTCACTCTACTCGTACTAAGTGACGTGCTATGTTAGTAAATATGGCATTGGCAAGAGCTTCTAAGTCATAAACAAGTGAGAATCTATCTGACAAATTGAGAAAATTGATTTGGCAGGGTTTCCCACTTCTGTCTCTCTAACTTCTTCTTCTTTCTGTATCTCATACAGACATACAAATTACAAATGCACTCTTATATTAGCTGCAATAATTGACAATTCCAGAAGCAATGATCTTCTTCTGGTTGCAGTAATGGTGCTAGCTCCGCCGCTACTTGTTAGTTGTTAGGGAGAGAATCAACAGAAAGCAAAAACCTTCCCGCCTTCGTCACCATTCATTATATTTTCTGCCACCGTTTGGAGACCATCCAAAATTTGAGGCCCTAGACCCAACTGAGGCCCTAGGCGTTTGCCTTCGTTGCTTGGCCTCAGGGCCGGCTCTGCCCACCTCTACTTGCATATTGCCCAGAATAGCTATAACCAAAATCGTCCATCCTTTCGTCGCGTGGGAATTAAAAGTTTAAGATTGTAGGCACAACAAATAAAATATTAGGATAAAAGGTGCAAAAATTTGAAATGTTTTGGACTGCAACTGTAATTATCCCTTTTTTAAATTGACTTTCTTAACTTTGCATTCCAGCATCGAAAATTCTTAGATCCTGCCCCTCGAAATAAACACATTTATAATGGTACTTTAGAATTGTTGAAGGACACCCATTCGAGTCTCTTTAAGAGGGTGACGCATGCACATTCAAAATTTTGGACGACTAGTGACTTATATAAAAGAATATCATGAAATGAGAGAGCGGATGGATCGAAAAGCAGAAAGATTAACTCGTGACTATACACAAATTAGTAAATGGATGCTAACAATGAGAAACAAATTAAAGATGAATGTGGATGCTGTAGTTAAAGAAGGTCACGAGTGTTACGATTTTGGCATTATATATGGAAATGAGAAGGACAAATTGGTGGCTGTCATGTTAAAATCTATCCATGCGAATATCTTGTTATATATTTATGGTATAAATATAAAATATGAAAGAAATAATCAAATTAGATAAAGTGCCAAAGTGGTGGGAAATGTGACATTTGTGTGGGACGTCAGGGGTTCGAATCACTCCCCACGCAAATATTAAAATGTCTTGATTTGGGCTCTTGGGCTTCCTTGACTAAAATAAATATTTTTTTTTCTTCATTATTTAATGGGTAAAACTAGCCAGTATTTTATGACTGTTTGTTTTTGTAACAACCCACTAACTGCCATTAAAACACCCACTACTCAGTCATTAAAATTCTGCATTAACATGGTGAAGACTGTTACTACCATCTTGCCTATATAAACTCATATCTTGCTTTGGGAAAAGACACACAAAAAGAAAATAGAATCAATCACTATTTTCATATTGTGAATTTCTTATATTCGGGTTTTTATACCTATTTTGGAGTACAATTGAGAGTTCTAGAAAAATCATTCGTGATTGCTGCATAAGTGGTTTACGATCGTTGTATCCTGGGAGTGATTGTCCACGGAGGTCACAGCAATTATTGATGGGCAATTTCACTTTAGGACATCGTGCTGTCACGAGACTCGATCGGACGATAAATTTTATATTTCTGCATTATATTGTTCTGATCACTGCTGCAACTAATTAATTTTCCAACATATCTAACCTTTCGCAAAGGGATGTGTTTCCATACTGGAAGGACTTACATTTGCTATCGAACACTCCTTGAACATCGATTTTTATAGAAACTGGTTGCAGCAATGTCAAGCATTCAAGGAAGAAGCGATGATACTACATATTAGGATGTCTTCGTTTCCATACTTAACATGTTCATAGATTCATCACGTGGCTAACGGTGTCCTCCATGCTCTTGCCAAAATAGTAACTTTATTTCAAAATAGCATTTAGGTAGACGATCTGGTTCATTCTATGCCCTCGTTTGGCCTTCATTAATTTTGATTATAATGAGGAAGTAGTGCCTTTTTTTTTTAATGAATAGTTGTAAAGGAATGAAAAGTTTTTCAATTTACGTGTAATATTATTTTATTGAAAATTGTGTTAATAAAAAGAAGAGAAAAAAATTTAATTTGATGATATGTAATGGGGGTCAAACGGAGGGCTATAGACTGTAAGAGAAATTTAGAATTCTCGAAATTATTGATAAAATCATTGATCTGGTTTTGTATAGCGGAAAATGATAAACAAACAATGCCTTAATAGGCCTCTGTAACAGGGTTCCTATGTGGCGCCCCCCTACGACGTCGACGCCCTTGTCCAAATAGCATGACCCTTGTATAGCACGTAGGATTAGAATAGTGTAGATCCACATCACATCACATCACCCCTTCCCTGTGCTGCGTGAACGCCAGGTATTCTGCAACTGCAATTTCAATTACGCTTCATTTTTGTCTTGTGACCATTTCCCCATCCCCAAACCACCTCATATTTTTGTTGGCTGCAAGTGAGTAAATATTATTCAATTTATAATCCCTATTATTTCTAAAATATATTTTACTCTCTTTTATTTTTAAAAATTTCCTTAATTTTTTAATTTTTAAATGCACATTCACTATCAAAATACTATACTATTTCATGTATTTTGGACAAAAAATGAGGCTCAAACATAGAATGTTGATAGTCACCGATTTAAATGATAATGGGACATTTGATTTGTTGTCTAATAGATTGTAATGTATTTGAATGTATTAAATAAGGAATTAAGAGAGTCATGCCATTGAGACTGGTGATGATCTCAAATTCCTACACCGTTCTACGACATTGTTAGAGGAGGCAAGAGAAACATTTAGAGTAATGAACCCACTCGAAATTTAATATATTGTTATTTAACGCTTGCTTGGCCTCATGCTATTTTACATTATAATGAGAGGAATAATAGTTTTTTGAGAATATATGGTTAAAAAGAGAAATATAAATTTTAAATTTATGTGTAATATTGTTTTAGTAAAAATGTGTTATTAATAAAATGAGAGAAAAAAATAAATTATAATTTAATGAAGAGTAATAGGGTCTCGAAATGAAACCACTAAAATATTTCTCACACCCTCACACAAACGTCATCTTTAGGTTAAAAGGGGCCCCACAAACCTCGTCCTTGGCTTAACAGAGATGAGAGAACCAAAGAAAAACAAACCTTTTCTTTTCTTTTCTTTTTTTCCATTCTCGCTTTCTTAAAAAATTATAGGAAAAAAACAGAGGAATTCACAAGTTAAAAGAGGTGATTTTGGACGGACATAATGTGTAAGCCTCGTTTGGTCTCCATTAAATTTCATTATATTATATTTTATTTTTTTCTCTTTTACTTTTAACCACACAATCTTTGATTAAATAATATTACACGTAAATTGAAAATTTATCATTCTTTCTCAACCACTCATTTTTAAAAAAAACATTATTCCACTCATTTTCATTTTAAAAAAATGGGGGCCAAATGGGAGCTAATTACGTTTGCTCCCATTTTTTCCAAATTTTAACTTTTGGAAAAGTATTCTTTTAAAAAATGTATGATTGAAAATGAATAAATTTTTTTTGATTCACTTATAATATTATTTTTTGAAAAATTATGTGGTTGAAAATGAGAAATCGTGGCTTTTGATTTCTTTGACTATTATCACTTGATTAAATTTGAAACTACTACTCCAATAATAACATATCATTACTACAACCTCAACCACCACATTTATTCATCTCTCTTTTGTAAGTCTCTCTCTCCCCTCTCTGGTTCTCTCTATGAAGGCCGTTCTCCTCCATTTTCAGGCCCCGTTCTCTATTCCCTTCTTTATCTCTATATTAAAACATGTAATATTCACATACATATAGCATTGTGTAATTTTTTTTACGTTCGAACTTGATTACACATAGGAAAACGCAGTTGAATCAGTTTCTTGAATTAATTCTGGTGTATTTTGATCATATGAGGGGTTCTTGAATTGAAGCCCAAAAGAAAAACAACTGGGAAAATATGGTTGTTCATATTGATCATAAATACAAATCAATCGTCGCACATGTATATAAATAATATTGTGATATAAATCGAAGGTTCCTGAATTTTTAGAAAATATAATGATGATTCTTGATTGTTTTATTTATGTCACTGTGTTTGAACAAGCATTTTGTCCATTCTTGAATACGGCGCTTAATGTGGTTTCTATTTTATTATTTTCTGTTATGGGCAGGTTGAATTAAACCATAATTGGAAATGAAGCTATCTCAGATGCTGTGATCTTGATTTTTTCTTGATTTGGTTCAGATCGTATGCCAGTATAAGCGTTTTTCATTTAGGGTTTTTAAAGATTTGTTTTATTATTATAGAAGAAGAGAAATAGTGACCTTCTCATTTGATTTGAGAAAGTCAAAATTGAGGCAATAAGGGATTAAAAATAAAGAAGCCTGAGAAAGAGATAATATGGGGTATCTGTATTCAGTCTTGTCCCAATCAAGCCAAGTCCATGCGGATGATGCCCCAGTTAGCGGTGGGGGCCTCAGGTGATCTGCTTCTCCCCCTCGTTTTGCTGCAGGAATATATACATGTTTATATATATATTGTTATTTGTGTTCTTATTTTTTATTTTTTATTTTTTTAGGATGTATTAATTTGCCTTGTGTTGTGTATATATATTGTGATTGTATTGTGTGTGTGTGTGTGTTTTTTTTTAATTATTATTTTTTATGCAATTTATTGCTTAATCGGAACTAGCTGTTTCTGGAATGAAACAAGAATTGCCTATTGGTTTAGTTCATTTGATGAGCTTACATGTCATTAAAGCGCCTGTATGGGATTAATTAGGGCAAGGAAGCAAATGCCGAAAGCATAAGAAATTATTCATATGAATGCCATTTTCTGTTTTTTAATCTTATTGTTGAATTGATTATCTGCTTTTTTGGGCATTATTGTGATCGTTTATAACCTATAGGTAATTCCAAAGTCTGCATGATGTAAAAATCAAAGATTCATTGCGGGTTGGTTGTGACTGGTGATTGGTCACAAATTTGAAATTCTGGTATTTAATTGTATAATTGGTGGTTTGGGAACGTAGTTCCGCTCTTGTTGTTTTGGACATTGTTCATTGAGAGAAACGTAGAAAGCATTAATCACATGCTGTCGGATGGAATTTGAACACTTGTTGTACATTCTTCAATGACATTGTTATTATTGGTCATATCTCTTTTTGTCGTGTTTTACACGCCACTTCATCTATTGTACGTGGGATTGATCGCTCTACTTCTTTATTCTTTAACGCTTTGGGCCAGCGTCATAAAAAAGGCCAAACCTGACTGTATCGTGAATGCAGAATTTTTGTGATTACATTTCCCATATGATATGAAGAGGTAGTGTATCTGGCGTTCAGTGGTACTAGTTTCTTGAAAACAAATTGACTATACACTTCTATTCTTTGAGGAATTGACTTTCTATAACAAATGAAAAAGAGAATCATGTCGGTTTCCACAGCTAACATGGCATATTAAAAAGATATATTTTTCTAATGAAAATTTAATATGAAAAGCTGCAATAACTACCTTTCAGCCTCGTGAATTCTTTGAGTCTCTCTCTCTCTCTCTCTCTCTCTCTCTCTTCCAGTTTTTAATTGATTCAAATATATAAACATTGGTCTTTTATATTTCAAAATATTTTTAACTGGTCCTTAAAAAAGTCATGCTTGCCCTAATGTGTAAATGCTTCATCTTCAATTGTAATACTATATATTGAAGGGTTGTTTGATGAAGCTTTTGATAAAAAATTTAGCAAATTTTGATCAATGTTGATGAAATGTACGGTTGAAAAGTTGATAAACGTTTTGGATTCCTTGAAATGTGTGATTAGAATTGAAGTTTGACTAGTTGAAAAGTTTATAAAATTTTAGGAAAGTTTTATCATAATACGCGTGTTTATTGGCTCAAAATGTTGAATATTTAAGTTTAATCGCTGCTATAATCATTTCCCGAAATCATTTTGTGTTGCTGTTATTCTTATTTCTTATAATCATCATGATTTTGCATAATGGAGTGAAGGTTTGAATGGTATGTGTTCTAACTTTTAGTATAAATTTTCATCCAAACAGTCAGAACGGAAAGTTCAGCTATGGATATGCAAGCTCTCCTGGTAAAAGGTCTTCAATGGAGGATTTTTACGAGACTAGGATCGATGGCGTCGATGGAGAGATAGTTGGTCTCTTCGGGGTCTTTGATGGTAAGGCTCTCTTGCACCCCCGGCCCCCGCACCGCTTCACCATGATTAAGGGCCCTTTTGGAATAACTTTTGCTTTTGGTAAAAGAGTTTTTGGAGAAAATTATCTTAATTTTTGTTTGAAAACTAATATTTAAAAGTACTTCCATTTCGGAAGTGCTTTTAAAGGAAACCACATTGAACCAGTTTCCTTTGAAATCTCTTCTAACTACAAAAAACGCTTTAACAAAATTAGCCAAAATTGTCCAAAAGCAGCTTTCTCCTTTTGGCTTTTCATAAGCCATGCCAAACAGGCCCTAAGTCTCGAGTTGCAATCTTTACTCCACAGTACGTCATATCTAACTATGTATCTGCTTTTACTCTTTCAGGCCATGGGGGTGCTCGGGCCGCAGAATATGTTAAACAAAACCTTTTCAGTAATCTGATCAGGCACCCAAAATTTATTTCTGACACTAAATCAGCGATAAGTAGGCCATTTACGAAGTCTATATGATTGCTCTATTTACTTTCTACCATCTGCTTATAAACTTAATTTTCTTGTTTTCCTACGTTGGTCCCTTTCCAGCTGATGCGTACAGCCATACAGACTCGGAATTTCTGAAATCAGAGAACACTCAAAATCGAGATGCTGGATCAACTGCTTCCACTGCTATCCTTGTTGGGGACCGTTTGTTGGTTGCAAATGTGGGGGACTCTCGAGCTGTTATTTGCAGGGGTGGTAACGGTGAGAATCAGAACCTTTTGTTTGTGTTCTTGAGCATCTATTAGACCAATAATAAGACACTACAGTCTAAACTTTAAAAAAGTGCCCACTGTTATTAACTAACTGTGAACCTGCTAGTGCATTTGAAATTAATTGGATAGGTATTCACTTGTATGAACTCTCGTTGGTTGTGAGGGAGACAATAATTATAATCGTTCAATGGTCTCGGTTTTAATACTATGCTCATGGTGATTGATTTGCCGGGATTCGGAACTTCATTACGAATACCCATGTGAAATCTATTTGTAGGATATAAGAAATGCTGATTCTGCCAAGTTTAATTTTTAAGAAACCAACTAAAGTTGACTATCAAGCCTTTATAATGAACTGCCAAATGAATTCATTGGGGGAGAGAGTATGAGTACTTATGCAAACAGAAACTTACATGCTGCCTTCCTTTGGTCTATATGTTGATTGTTTACGCAGTTTCAAGAGTTGGAACTCTCTTATTTTCAGCTCTTTCCTGTATTTTTTGGACTAGTCCAACCAAGAAAGGCTTGGAAGTCTTTGGGCGTGGAAAGCTTTGCATTCTTTCGATCTTGTGATGCTGAATTTGTTACAAAAATTTGCTTACATGGTTGATTTCAGAGAGTATGCTAAGCTACTTGCTGAATTTTGTTTGCATCAGAACTAAGTGTACTGCTATATCTTGCAGCTTTTGCTGTTTCTCGGGATCACAAGCCTGACCAAACTGATGAGCGTCAACGAATTGAAGATGCGGGAGGTTTTGTGATGTGGGCAGGTATGTACTATTGCTCGGCGAGTTTCATCGTTGATTGTCTGTGTTTCTGCCATTAGGGACAGTTTCTCACCAGTTTTTGTTGTTTGATATTTTCTACAGGAACTTGGAGAGTTGGAGGAGTGCTTGCTGTATCTCGTGCTTTTGGTGATAGACTGTTGAAGCAGTTTGTGGTTGCTGATCCAGAAATCCAGGTATGTTTGGAAACTTGAACTGAAGGATGTGGCATAATTCGAAATATAAAAATATCCAACACATATACATGTAAGAAATGTATGAATTTTCATAATCAAACAGGATTTGATTGTCAGGGATCTTTCAGATTTTGCATGTGTGATATCATAACTTGTTCATTTTTCCCCTGAAAATGACAGATTTTCATGTACTAGTGTGAAGAAAGAACAAATAGATATTATTTTGCATGGATGTACTTGTGTCTAAATATTTATCTGTCCGAATACATAGAGTAAGCTTCAGACTTGAATGCATTCTTGTAATCAAAAGAGTTGTCGTTGAATTTCCAAATTGTGCAATATTTTCAACATTTGTTTTATCCTAGAATGACGCTGAAGTTTTTAGATTCTGGACGATATTTCTTGCATGATTTATTACTTGTAAGATCTTTCCAAGAGTGATGCTGTGAGTTTGTTATATTCCGTAAATGGCTTATTGATTGCAAGTTTTCTTTTTTCTTGGGTGTAAAATGCAGGAGGAAAAGGTTGACAATACCCTAGAGTTTCTTATTCTTGCTAGCGATGGACTTTGGGATGTGGTGACTAATGAGGTTCGCCTTTGTCCGATTTGAGTTTTTATGTGATCGTCCAATTTGGACTACTTTTTCCTAGTTCCTTTAACCACTCGAGCACTCACGTTTAGGGGCACCCGTATGTTGCTCCTCGAGAAGCAGGAATAATTAATTTATCATCATCTTTGTCGATTCTCAGGAAGCCGTCTCCATGGTTAAGCCAATCCAAGATCCAGAAGAAGCAGCTAAACGGCTAATGCATGACGCTTACCAGAGAGGCAGTGCTGATAACATCACTATTGTCGTTGTCCGGTTCTTGGCTGAAGAAGAGGGATCCTCGAATAGTGGCTTGGGTTAAGAAGAATGGTTTTATTTATCCAGTGCTTTTATCTGATTCTCAAAATGATGGAAAAGGGTGAACAAAGAACACTAATAGAGATGTACTTCACTAAAGTATAAAAACATAGTGTATGGTCAGTGACAGTTAAGGTTCTTTACATAAATGTCAACCTTTAGAATTGTTTGGAACTTCAGAGTTTCAACTATAGATGTTTATTTGATTTGTAAAAGACTTGTTCTTTTGTCTGTTTGTATGGTGTTTGTTGGTTAGTTATTTTTATCTGTTTATTCAAGTGTTAGGTGGGGGTGCTGATTTTTACTTCTTTCTATTTTCCATCATTTTGTCTATTGGTGTAGCTTCCTTGACTTTACCTTTCAGGTTGTCTTTTGTGTTAAGTTGTGGAGCTTAACGAATTTTGCTGTGTGGAGCCAGTACTCGAATTGACCTCTGAACTAAGGCAAACGTCAATATATCTTTCGTGTTTTCAAGTGTATTTTTCTTTCTACGAATTGATTGCTTTCGGTGAAATAAATTAGGGGGTGTTTGATAGTCATTTTTATGTAAAAATGTATTTTAGAATAGTAAATTGATGTGAAATGTGTGGTTGAGAAATAAGGAAATTTTTTTTATTTACGTGTAATATTATTTTAATAAAGAATGTGTGGTTGAAAAAGAAGAGAGAGAAAAATACATTTTGAAAAAATAGCTACCAAACGGGGCCTTGGAGTTTTTGATTCTCAACATTTTGTATTTTGTAATAAATAAGATTGGATAGGATTGACAAAATGATATGTGGGTTATATGTATTGTCAAAGCACTATCTATACTAGATAGAAATGAATGATAGATAAATATGTAGTATTTGTGGATCCTTCAAAACGTATAGATAAAAAAAGGCTCTGAGTGTATATAAATTTGAGTCCCAATAATCATTAAATATAGGTTGGTATCTTTGATTTTTCACTACATTTTATGATGTCGAGTTTTGGTCACTAAACTTCTCAAAGTGTCAGATATTAATCGCTATAATAACTTTTCTTTAACAACCATAAAGAAATAGTTGATCGGGCATTCGAATTTCACAATTGGCATCCCATCACTGTTAGATGCCTAATTCGAAAGAGGGACAATCAACATAAGTAAGGCATCTTTGATTGCCCACTTTTGACACGTGTCTTTGACTGCTCATTGTACTTTAAGTTTGTCGAGTTTTGATCACTAAACTTTCCAAAGTGATATCTGAATAATATGAAAACATGGATTTTGTTTATTTTTTGTGTTTAATTATTGTTGTGTTGTTATATATTTAAAAAGTTCTTTCCAAGTTGAACATCTTATTGAATTATTTCATCCAGATATTCGAGCAACACTTTAACGTATTTACGACTCAAAATAGCAAGTCACTACTTTAGATCAGGTCGACGAACTAATATAAATAACGATTTTGTTACATGTACGTAGTGTGGAATCAATTGGCCTAGATATCACATCAATTAGGGGGCAAAGCCCTAGAAGCCGACTAAGTTACATCACTGCCCACTAAAGATCGTTTGACAACAAACTCAACAAAGCTGCTAAGCTTCTTCGAGTTTGGCAGTTTAGCTATTTGTTACCTATGATAATTTTATGAAGACATCATAAATTAGAACAGTGCGTCTTTGATTTTCAAAAACAAAGTCTTTATAGCCTATGTAAGACAATAGGAAGGTGACTGTGTTCTTACGGGCATTCTTTGTGCTGGTAACTTTTTCTGAGCTATTCTTTCGTAATTCAATAAATTTTTGAGATTGATCAGCACAACTAAACCGCCCTCGATTTTTCTTCCAAATGCTTTTGTCTTTTGAGTTACTTCAGATGCACCAAAAGTATTGTGATCTAAATACACCATTGTTGTGTAAGATATAATTGACATTGGATAGGTGGCAATCACTTCCAGCTAAATGAAAAGTTGCCTGCGGAACGCGATTATGAGTTCTATTCGAACGCTTTATCTGGGACAAGTGATGGTTTATTTTTTCATTGAAAAATCAACGATCGCTTCATGATAATTTATATGCTTCACGAGTCTGATAAATTGTTTTTGTTTTTCTTGCTAGAAACTTTTTCAAAAGTATTCAACTAGCATTTGCATAGTTTAGGAATTATGCTTAGTAGGGACCTAAACATAGGAATGATTTTTCTAGAGTCAAGACCATGCCTTATGACAAAAGAGGGAGAAAGGACGAATCATCTATTAATCTGTGATTAAAAAAAAAAAAAAACTACATCTAAGGAATGAGATACAGATTGACAAGCACAAAAGCCATATCTCATGCCCCCTCCCCCCGCCCGGGTTAGTAGGACTACATACTTCGGAATCGAAATTTTGATGAAAATGGCAATAGACGCCCTTCCACCATACCTCAAACAGAGTGGAACCTAATCCATCCATTACCATATAATTAGGTATTTAGCACCGTTAAAGCTGGATACTATGTGCGGCTAATGATTTGTCCTAATTTGCCAGAACATTGGCCTACGTGGCCATGAGAGATTTTGTGATCTGTTGGCCCTTTGGAGGTACATTTTTTGAGGTTAACAGGTATCTCAATGATTCCAATTGGTATTCTTGGTAGGAGTCTGGGATTAACTGGGGAGAACCGTGCCTGCTTTTGAAGAATCTAGGCTTGTTGGGTAATCTCTTGCCTCTTTTTGATGATTTTTGGGTCCAAGATTTTGATTAATTTCTATGGATAGCGTTTTTTTAATGCTGTGCATTTCTTGTATTCTATGTGCTCTCGTATTGTCAGATTTTCGATTTGGTGAAAAATATTATTTTCTTTTGTTGTATAATATGTTATTTTCTTTTATTTTTCTTTAGTATTTTAAGTTTCAGGCATTTCAATGATTTGTGTTGGTGTTTCTGTTAGAAGTGTGGTATTTACCTGCTTTTGAAGAATTAGAATTTCGTTGGTAACATTTCGCCAGCTTTTGAAGATTTAGAACTTAGGGGTTGTATTCAATTGAGATTTTTAATAATATTTTAGGATTTAGAAAGTTTAGAGATGTTCAATGTAGACCTTTTCAGACCCTCTAAAAATATTGGTATACTCAATTGAGATTTTCATAAGTTTTTAAAAAATCTCTATAAGTTACGCGGTATTTTATTAAAACTTCTAAAAATCTCTATAAATCATGAATATTCAAATTTTAATGATTTCTAGAGACTTTTATAAAAGTTTCCGTGGTACTAACTTTTAAACAGAAAGTACTTATATGTGTGTGTGTGTGTGTGTGTGTGTGTGTTTTTTCCCCAATATTTCTTTCTTTTTCCCTTCTACTATATTCGTTTCTCTTTATCTTTCTCTCTCTGATTGTTTATCTCTATTTTAAATAAAAAAATTGAAATGGATTCTTATATTCCGTCCGTCCCATTTATATAGGTTTACTTTTCTTATTTTCTATTCTCAATTATATAGTCATATTTATTTATTAAGCTTGTTTTGTTTTGTTCATCTACTAATATACCCTTATTTAATTTATCTAGTTAATAGTTATAACCAATTTTTTCAATTAATCTTGAAATTGTACAAATATAAATAAGTTAAACTAGGAAGTTATTGGCAAAAATTAATTTTCAATAGCATTAAATAAGATTTCTTAATTTGTGTGAAAAACAAAAGAATTATATTTAAATGGGACAGAGATAGTAACTTTTTTTTTTCATTCATTTTTTTTGAAAAAAAATATTTTTTATTCCCTTGTCTGAGCCCCATTTTTTCAAAACTTATTTTCAACCATATATTCTTTTATAAAATAATTATACACGTATTTCAAAAAAAATCTCTTACTTTTTAAACACATTCTCCAAAAAATTATTATTCCATAATGCATTTTATCAAAAAAATGGGAATCAAACAGGGGCTAAATTAACAAATTTATATATATACAATTTTGATTATTTTTTATTTAATTAAGGTTTTAAATTTTTATTCTTTTTAAAATATTTTTATTATTATACGAGGAGAGGAAAAGAAATTGCGGGAACTACGATCTCACATGTGAGAATTTCACATTATTATACTAAATCTATGTGAATTCTATTTTAAATGAAAATTTTCAAAAAGTCTTCTAAATTATATACAAGTTTTAAAATAAAAGTCTATAAAATCTACGAAAGGCTTCTATTAATTCTATAAAGATTAATGAAAAATCCATAAAAGTCATCGCTTAAAAAAAGTTAATCAAAGTATTCAAAAGTCCCAATTGAATACACCCCGTAGTTTTTATCTACAAGCATAATTTTAATCGGCACATCATGCGGACATGAATATATTTAGGATTGAATTATTCTTGTCACTTTAGAATTTCATGGATTTGGTATTAATTAATTGTCAATTTATATTTTCCCCTTACTTTTTCTATATATTTTGGTTAGAAATTTTGTTCAGTGTTCCAGCTTCCATTACCATATTGCAAAATGTGCGTTGTTATTTTTTATTTTTTATTTTTTTGTGGGTTCATATAGTTTTAATTTCTTCCATTATGATTTTTCAATCTGAAACTTTGTATGTTTCAAGCTTAAAGTTAAACATAAACATAATGTATACAATAGATTGATTTAATAATACAAATTTTATTTTCGTGCAGTTCGAAATTTATCTTTTGAAGAGGATTTAAAAGATAGAGAGAGATGAGATGAATTTATTTGATGATATCTTGACGTTGATATTAGTTCTATTGCCACCAAAATCTTTGTTAAAAGCCAGGAGTGCGTCAAGAGATTGAATAATTTCATCGAGAAACCTTTCTTTCTTTGCTTTTATGCAGAAAGATGAAAAGGGTTATCTATTTGTCATTGAAAAAACAACCATTCTACATGTACATTTTTTTTTCACACAGTTTTTCACAACACACACATGCAAGTGGGTGGGATCCACGATTAAAATAATCGTGGACCCCACCTTTATGAGAGAGTGTGAAAATTGATGTAAAAAAAAGTGATGTGCAAATAGCATTTTTGTTGAAGAAAAGGGTTCCCAATATACCATTGTTGTGTATGATCCCAATGACATTGAAGGAGAGAGCCATCTCCAGCTAATCGAAAAGTTGCCTGTTGAACCTCATTATAAGTTCTATTCAAGCGCTTTATCAAGGTCAAGTGGTGGCCTATCATTTTATGGAAAAATCAACGATCACGGCACTAAAATTTGGATGATTCCAAAGGGTCAAAACGGCTACAGGTGCCTTCCACCATACCTAAAACAGAATGGAGCCTAAAGCATACTGTGACTTTAGATTCCCCTTACAATGACTGTGCAATAGTTAGTAAGGAAGCATATATGATATCCTTGAGGCTTGCACCAATGGAATTCACCGACGGTACTTTTCGGTACTGGCGAAACTATCTTTCTCTGTAACAAAGAGAGCAAGTCAATGAAGTTAATTCAATATCAAGGCCAACCCAAAAGACATAGTTGGTTCGGAGAGTATCCTTGGTATCCTTTCTATGAGTCGCTTATTCTTTCTTCTTATGCTCTTGCAAAGAGTGCATGAAAAATAATTATTGTAGTGTGTATGTGCAGCCGTCGTTTGAGTTAAGTTTTTCTTTCTTGTAAATGTGATCGAGTTTTTGTTAGACAACTATATTTTGAGATTTCATACAACATTATGATTTAGTTGTTATATAGTAACATTTCTTCTTGCCTTCAATGTTCCTTCAGTGGATATGATGATACTTGAGTTACTATATTGTGATAAAACATAATCATACATATATTAGATACCAATTATGATTGAGCCCATGTTTGACTCCCATTGTTTTAAAATTCCATTTTTTTTATAGGTTCATTTTTAACTACATATTTATATATTTTGTACTTAGATGCAAAATTGTTCTCTATTTCTTAACTACACATTCTTTCGCAAAATACTATTTAAAACTCTTTAAAATGGAAATAATGGCTACAAATAAGGGCTGAATTGGCGATCCATTGACTGTACCGTAATGAAGCATTTTGAAGCTGGCAAATAATCTTCTTCATTTTTTAAAATTTTTTTGGGGTATATGACGTTATTGAGCTTCTCTCTCCTAACCTTTTCTAGTCATTTACCTATTCAACTTTTCACTTATCGAGCAATTTTTTCTTGGATAAGAAATCCTTCAAAAAGAAACCATAATTTTACCTTCAAATTCAAATATCTAAAAGATCAATATAAAAAGAATAAAGAAAATAGAAAATCATCATCTCCATCCTCTTACCTTCACAACCCGTAACACTCTTTGGAAAGGTCAGTACATTCAGACTTGTGAGAAAGAGATTGATGAGATAGGACAAGTGCGTAGGTGTAAGAACGGGTTGAGGTAATTTGACGATTAGTCATATTAATTAGAATTAAGCTACACTCATTTTGACAGTACACTCACACGAGTGGGTCCCACGATTATTTAATTGCAGGGCCCACTTGTGTTATGTGTGAGGACTGTCAAAAATAATGTAAAAATTGGTGTACTTGTAGCATAATTGTATTAATTATGTGGTCTATACTTGTATCTTCTTTTATTCTCTAATATTACCCAATATATTTTTTTTATTAAATTTATCTTTGCAAATATGTCATTAGAATTTTCGAGAGAATGAATGAAAAGAACAACTTTTTGCTGGTCTTCAAATTTCTGCTCCAAAATTCATTCCACTTTAACCCTTGTTTTATTTTTTTTTTCCAAATATATTTTCTTTAAAATCATTTTCAACATCACATTCTTCTAACATTATTATTATTTTTTTTTACATAAATTCATAAATTTTATACATTTTAATTAAATTCTCTAAAAAACCTATTTCACAAAATCACGTCTGAAAAAATAAAATCTAACAAGGGATTTATCTAATATGTACGTTTATCTTTGAAAGCTCAAGTAAAGTCCTGCTTACTAACGTTCTCATATGACTCTTTTATCTCCAGCTAATATGACATATCTAAAGTAGATATCTTCCAATCATTTTTTCAATTTATTTTTTACAGAATCATTAAATGTCATTTGAACTTGTGACTGCAGAAGTGGTGCATATGAGCAGATGCCTCGACCATTAAGACGAGGCCACTTGATTTTCATCCAACGATAACCAATTACTACCACAAAAGCTCACGTTTAATGCCATTTAAAGATAATTAAATATAGACTCTCAGCAGTAATATTACCCACTATTATTGTCTTCTCTCTACAACTTAGTTTATCTACACATATTTGTAGCTCACGTCTTTCTTCTATCCTGCATCCAAATGTAAGTTGATTGATTTGACCGTCAGAGTGTTCTTGTGATCGCCCCCTCCATTGTCAAAGGAGACTACGTTTTGCTAACGATTTGTCTCTGTGTACATAACCTTTACGTGTGGATGTAAGTGAAGTTGGAATCAATTAACCACTTCATCAGTCAAGAAACTAACGTCAACACAACTTGTAAAGACTCATACTACTCTCTTAATTAGGCCGACATATTAAAATGGAACACCAAATCTTAATGCATAACTAATCGATGTTTTAATTATCTAGAATACTTGAAAAACAATATTCCATATGGTGAATTAAGAGCATGAAAATTAGATCCATAATGTTTTCAACTCCCATTTTTTTTTTTTTTTTTTTTGTCTAATAATTTGAAGGACTATGCTATTTGTACACTTTTAATGTACATAATTCTTTAGGCCCTCATTCCGTATGGTGTACAAATAGACTAATCCTAATTTGAATACCAAATAGGAACCAATAATTCACTTTTCAAAGTTCCCATTTTATGATAATTGAACATACTAGATCATTTAATGATTAGATAACTACTTTAAACACTTAATTTCAGTAACTTACAAACTTACTTTTAGAGATTTTTTAATTTAAGTTTTTCCCGACTAGAATGAAACTCTACATAATCGAGCATCATGCCAGAATATTCTACACAAAATCTCCAATTTTTTTCTTAAAAAATTACATCTAAAAATGAGCAAATATCTCCACTGTGTTATAGATAACTCTCTCTCTCTCTCCAAATTTAGAAAGTCAAAAAAAAAAAAACCCCCCCCCCCCCCCCAAAAAAAAAAAAGGGAAAAGAAAAGAAAAGATTCTAAGTACAGAATTGATAATTAATGTGTAAAGAAGATGATTAATATATCAATCTTGTGAATATCTCTTTCTTCAATTTTGTAAGTTAATTCTTTATTTTCAAAATTAAAAAACATTTAATAAAATAATTTTGAGCACTAATTCTATTATTTTTTTTTTATCATGATCTATAATCTTATCATGTTTCTAAATTCTCAATGTTAAACCATAAAGATTTCAAATATTAAATCTAGGGAAAATCAATTTGTACAGAAATGAGTTTGACAGAAATGCTACAGATTTCTCACATTGAGGGTGAATCACATGTGAATAAAATAGTGCAACAAAAAAATAAATAATAAAAAAAATCCACCCCCGCTATGTTTTATTTGTATAGATTCTGTCAACTGTTTTCTGTACACTCAGGGGATTGTTAAATCTATACGCGTTGAAGGATGCAAAATCTTTGTCATGAGCATGTTTGGCTAATTATAAAAGTTTTTACTTCTGAGTAATTCCTTCTAAGAAAATAAGTAAATTTTTAATATAAATTTAAGCTTATTCTAATTTTTAAATAATTAAATTTTAAAAATAAATAAGTTACGGGTCCGATCCCGATCCGACTCAACCCGGACCCCCACAAAAATTCACCATAACAATTAACAAGAAAGTGAGAAACCTTAAAAATGAAAAACGAAAAATATATGTAATTATGAGTATAATCTGAGAACAGAAAGGGGAAAGGGTAATCCTTCCTGTAACCAATTTAACCTCTCCCCCAACCAGATTCCTCTTCCCCTGCGTATATATAAACCAAGAAAACCCAAAACGCATACGCACACAAATTACACAGAAATTATAGAATTACAATCAGAATACACTTCTAACAGTAATTGGTATTTAATTACAATGAAATTGTTGAATTGACATTTATCCAGGGATTGTTAAATGCATGTGGAGGTGGATCTCTATTGGTTCCTGCAATTCATAGTGACACCATTCTTGGTGGCTTTTGGGTTGCTCCAACTCGTGAGAAACACCGCCTCTAAGTACTTCGTTGTCGACTCCAATTTTGAGTCGGATTACTCGTTCGATCGCAACAAGGAGAAGATGGCGGCCGCTGGCGGTGACGCCGCCGTTCCTTGCGCCGTCTGTGAACGGAGAGGCACGAAACAATGCGCCCGTTGCAAGATGGTCAAGTACTGGTAAGCGCACAAGCACATTGTTTATGGGTTTTATTTAATTTTTTTTCCATATGTATGGGGTTATCATGTTTCTGATTATATACTAACTGTTTTTTTACGGATTTTCCATAAATTTGTTCGCATGTTCATTCAGTGGGATTTATTTTCTTCTAGCTATCGTGTTTTGTTAGGAACAAATTTGTTGTCTGATGCTAATTTTTTGTATCCTGTGCATGAAAGTCTGTAAATTGTTTAACTTGCGTTGGGAATGTTAGTTTACATGTAAGGTCATACGCACTAGTGGCTGCACATTTGTTTTATGTCCGTTGTTTCTGTGTAGTTTCATTCACCTGGTAATGCAATTATGTTATTCCGGATAAGGAATAGAACCGTTTGAATCAAAATAACTGCTAAACAAGTATTCTCAAAATGTTAAATGTTACGCACTAGCTTCCATTCACGTAAATGAATCCCGTATATTCACATTCAGTAACAGAATATTCAGGTACTCAAATACTCCCTAGAGGAAACCTGTAGCAAAAATTTAGCTGTCCTTTTATCTCTGTTATACCACTATTTTTTGTTAGGTCCAAGCATTAGTTGTCTATGTTTGGTACTCATTTAATCACGAGGTGGATAATGCAAACTGCTGATAATAATTGAGATGTTTCAGTGGCAGTCGTTCTTTTTTGCATTTAAGCAAGCAAGTAATTGTAATGTCTCATTTAACATCTAATTACATCTCAATTCACAAAGAAATAGGGGTCTGGTTCTTTTTCTTCATGTCAAAGCATGATTGTCCTGTTGATAAATTTCTTCTTGTTGTTTATTTTAAGTTTATTCATGTAAACTTCTATTCACATAAAACATTGTATGGTGTATGATAAATTTTGTCTCACTTGTTTATTTTATTTTTACTCAAAAAAAATAAAATAAAAAAATGCTGAAAAATATTCCAACACAGTGAATTTATTCAAGTAAATATGGTGTATGTGCTTACATTCAACTCTAATGGGAGGTTGTGTGAACATACCTCTGTGTTTGTAATTGCGTGAGTCGACTGTCTTGTCTGGTATGTACGAGCTGGAGTGTGGTTTTTAAGAGCCAGCAGGTTTAGCCTAACTCATTGCTTTAATGTGTATAATGGGGGAGTGTAATAGGCTGCTAACCTTCTCTGGGTTTAGAAATTGAGTTATTTGATCCCTTTCACAATTCCACAAAGAAGGTTGAGGAAAATTAAAATCAGCGTAATGGATTTCTGACCTCCAAAACTATATTCTTTATAGCCTAAGACAGACTATATGAAGATAACTGTTTTTACGGCATTCTTTATGACACTCGGTCTATCTCGGTATCTACTTTCCTAACCTTAAGATTTTTGTTGTAAGAACTATCCTCATTCTTTCTTCAACAGCTGCTATTGCTACTTAGCTTGTGTAATTGAATTCTTTGTCTCATCACTCATTTTCTAAAAAATGCTATTTCTTTGAATTACTTTAGGTTCACCAGAAAAGAGAATAAACTTTCTTTCAAGATTATGAAGCTTATTTTTTTAACTTTGCCTCTGAAATTTTAGCTCCGAAGCTTGCCAAAAATCTCACTGGTCTGAGCACAAGAAGAAATGCAGTGATTTTCAATTGTCTCATAAAGCTAATTCTATGCAATCTACATCTATTTTGAGGCGAAGAAAGGTTTCATTGGTTCCTGGAGGTGGGAGCTCCAAGATTTTCAAGCACTCGAAAGAAGTAATTGACTCTCCATTTTCATATTCGAGGTATGTAAGTACTAATGATGAGACTTTGACAAATTCTTCTGCATTTATGTTTTCAGATACTTTTCCCTTATGAGGAATTTGTGGAACTTTTTAATTGGGACAAGCCTGGTTTTTCTCCTTGTGGACTCTTAAATTGTGGAAACAGGTATAGTTTAGTGAATTTACATATACCTTTGAACTGTTTCTGGCTTGTTAATTTTTTTATTTGAAATTCCAAATGTTTTTATATTCTGCTCCCTCTTCCTCCTTTGCAGCTGCTTTGCTAACGTGGTTCTCCAATGTCTTGCGTTTACCCGGCCACTTGTTGCCTACTTGTTGGAGAAAGGCCATCGGAAAGAATGTAATTACACTGACCTAAAAACTCATCCAATATTTTTATGCTTTTATTAAATAATATGACTCATTATATCTGTCTGTTCGAATTTATTTTTGGACACTCCTTATTTTCTCATTTTATTTGCATGTCCCTCAGGTCAACATGATGATTGGTGCTTTCTGTGTGAATTTCAAGCTCATGTCGAAAGGGCTAGCCGGAGTCTGCAGCCATTTTCTCCAATTAACATTCTATCACGATTGCCTAATATTGGTGGTAACCTTGGCTATGGGAAACAGGAGGATGCCCACGAGTTCATGAGGTTCTTATTATTTGAGTCACATCTGATTTTGGTTTTCATACTAGTTGTGCTTTTCAGAGTTTTAAGAAAGCGTTTTGAACCTCCTCCATTTTTTTTGGTATATGTACAATTCAATGTTTTGTAGGTTTGCCATTGACACAATGCAGTCAGCGTGCCTTGATGAATTTGGGGGAGAAAAGGCCGTTCATCCTAGATTCCAAGAAACCACCCTTATTCAGCATATATTTGGAGGTCACCTTCAATCTCAGGTCAAATTATTTTTGCAAGAGTTTTTCTCTATTTTGTTACATCTACCTCCCTCCATACCTCCTCTTCTTTCCTCTCTCTCCCTGCCTTATTTTTTTCCTTTTATTATTTGCCTTCCCAGGTTATCTGCACAAACTGCAACAATGTTTCGAACCAGTTTGAGAACATGATGGATTTAACTGTTGAAATTCATGGTGATGCTTCATCTTTGGAGGAATGTTTGGACCAGTTCACTGCCAAAGAGTGGCTTCATGGGGATAATATGTATAAATGTGATGGGTAAACATTCTTTCTTATAGCATGGAATTACCTTAAATTTACATTCATTCTTCCAGAATAGTGAATTTCTAGCCCATCTTACTTCTAATCTATTTACACAATTGTTCTCATTTATATCTGTTTTCCTTACTTGGTACTTCCACTAGTTATACAGGCACTGAAGAATCTGAATATTTCACTAACTTTATAAAAGACGTAATGAACAAACTAAATCTGCTACTGTCACACAGGTTTTCCCTTTTGCCAAGTACAAGTGTCTAGGTTCTGTTGGACAGTACAACAAGCATATTGTTGCATAACTTCTTTTCCTTCCTATCTTTAGTTGCTTTGTAGATTGATTCAATTCTTTTTCGGTTACAATTAATTAATTAATTTTTATTTTATTTTTTGCTGATAGGCCGTTACAGTTAAATTTTGTATCAAGAAGGGGTGCTTCCTGCCAAATTTATTTTAACAGAAAATACCACCCGCTTTGACATAATTTATTATGGGCAGTGTATACTTTACTGCTACATTCTTTGCTTCTCCCATCCCTTCATAAGTGACATTTACCTACTGGAATGCATTTTGCTTGCAGATGCAATGATTATGTCATGGCATGGAAGCGCCTTGTGGTGCGGAGGGCACCCAACATACTTACGATTGCCTTGAAAAGGTTTCAGGTTAGTTCTGCATTCCTGTCTCACCTTTTTTTTTTCCCCAGCTAATTAAAATATGTAGAACTAACTTCACAAAAGAAAAATGTAGAACAAGAGGAAGGGAACGTTGACTATGCTAGAAAATGGGTATGTGAGTTTGAGATCTGAAGCCTTTGAATGGATTAGTGGTAGGTGCACCATATAAGTTTTATTAGTGGGAACAGACCAGATTTCTTTTGACACCAAAAAGAATAGCAGATTTCAGGCTGTTTAACTATCATTGACGAAGGCACCTAATTTTACCCGTTTCTTTGGTGATTACTAGTAAACGTCATCTCAAGGGTAAGTGCATCTAGTCAGGCTGTTAGTTTAGACAGATAACCAATTTAAAAGTTTCTCATTGGCGTTCGATGCTTGAAGTAATTCCTTCTGCTTCAGTATTGGTTTTTTATTTGATTATAAATGAACCGAAAACTTCAGTCAGGGGAAATTCACTTCACAGAGTATAGTTGATGTACGTGTCTTTTTGTCATGCAGAGTGGGAGGTTTGGTAAACTTAATAAGAGGGTGACATTCCCAGAGACTTTGAATCTGAGCCCTTACATGAGTGAATCAGAAGATGGCAATGATGTTTACAAGCTATATGCAGTTATTGTCCACGTGGACATGTTAAATGCATCATATTTTGGCCATTATATATGCTATGTCAAAGATTTTCATGGAAAGTGGTACAGGATTGACGATAGCAAGGTAAAATTTTCTATCTGTGCATGCATTTAAATGTATCCTCTCGTGTCTGCGACTCTGCAAAGGGCAAACACTTGAACAGCATCATTTTGAATTGAACACTGGTCTTCATAGCTTATACAATTCTGTGTCATATATGTCTTTCAGTGTGACCTTTGTCTCAGTGTATCTCATATGTGATTTTTATGATTCGCGCAAATGAGTTGTATGATGTAGGAGTATGAGTCAGTATTTAATACCTACCATCCTGTATTGAAGGCCCCCATTTTAGTTTTTTTGGATGTTAGCGAGTAATATCCTCGTTCTTGATTGGACATCTGTTTTCCTAAAAAAATAACCTTCCTTAAAGGCGATGTAGGTGTACGTGATGTCTAAGCAAGTGCAAATATCTATCATTTTGTGGTACTTTGAAGATTCTGAAATGAAGCACCAGTTTTCTTTAAATAATAAATAGCAAGTGATCTGGTTTGTTTCAGTTGATAAAATAATATTTTTCCAAGAGGAAGCCATTTTGAAGTTTAGCATGATGAATTTATGATGTGAATCATTAAAAATATGTTTCTTTTGCGTGGTGCTGTATATGTGAATTATCTATTCAAAAAGCAGTTCAATCGAGAGATGCAGACCTGGAAGAGTTTCTTCCTCTTCAATTTTAGTTGTTCAATTCAGTTGTTGCCTCATTAAGATTGAAGTGTTGGGAGGATAATCATGTTAAGCCATAATTTCAATGAACAACGAAAAAGGCAGAAATTGCTTGAATGCAAGTTTTGAAGTTCCAGAACTCACTTATAGTGCGATGGCGTGCTTATGGTACCTTTTGCCCATTTCCGATGTTCACAATCCATAGGCAATTCCAAATAAAATTTAGGCTAAAGGAATGTCACAACAAATACTGTTTGTACATGTTCAGGCATCTGACTGCAATTTTTTCGCCTGATATGCTTCTCATAAGCACTGATGGGACATGTTCTAGTTGAACACTCAAAAATTTATACCCGTATCTGGTTAAAGATCTATTTCGAATGAAAGAAACAATTCTTGGAAAATGCTACTGCATTTTTGAAAGAAAGAATAGCATTCCACGATAGTATGGCAGGGCATTCTTTATTCTTGTTGAACATTCACTTCATATTCCTTATTTTTCCTCTATCAGGTTGCTAGTGTTGATTTGGATGAGGTTCTTTCACAGGGAGCTTATATGCTCTTATATAACAGGTATCTCTCTCATTCTAGGGCTCTTCTTCTGAGCAATCCCAAATATCCACATTTCAAATTATGATAAACTTCTCTAGAACCTCAACCATGTTTGTGCGGAATAACCTAAAACAAACAAACAAAAGTAAAAATTGCATCAGAACCACTAATTTTACAGAGAATAGGACTTTTGTTGTCAACATCTGTGTAAAGTACCTTGCCCACCCCCCAGAAGTAAACACACATGCAAACTTAAAAAATGATAGTTAGCATGTTTGGCTAAGCTATAAGGTGCTTATAACATGCTCAGTTGTATGTCTTTGAGATAAGTTTACTTAATGCAATATATATTCTAGAGGTCAGATGACTAAATTAAATACCTTGGAGGAGGTCTTAATTAGAGCAATTCTAAGAGACTTTAAATGTAAAATGCTCTATTTTAAAGATTGAATCCTTAAAATTAAGCTTCAACAAACTCCTTTAAAATAGGTAGTGGATTTGACTGACTACACTTGGAGCTATGTATACGTATTTTATAACGATTGCATTTAATAAGTTGCATGTTTTAATGCTCTACTTGGATTATTTTATCCTTTGTCATCCGAAACAAAAATATTAATTAAAAAATGAGGAAAAAGCAATTAATGGTTATTGGAAAAAGTAAAATGAAGATTAAAAAAAAAAAAAAAAAAAAAAGGAGTTCATTCGAGTGTGTAAAAAATATCTCTCTTTGAATTATAAGGTGCTCTCTATTATGTAAAATATACTCTTTAAAGATAAAGAGGCTCTTGAACATGCTCTTAGTTGGCTAGGCTATAGAATAAAAGCTAACTACTCTAGATATCGTTGAGTAATGTCGTTGATTGTACTTATGTGACTAGATCAAGCGTTTGGTTTTCTGTAAGAGAGCAATGTGAGTGCATGGTTTCATGAGTAATGGAGGGAAAATGATGAGAGTAAAGCAAGGAGAAGAAGACAGTTCTTACCATGGCAGTCCCACTGGGGCATCGTATTTTAATTACACGTTAAAAGAACAACAAATCTTGTAGTTCCAAAAAGAGCTACAACGTGAATTAGCCTTGGGGGAGAGTGGCTTCTCAAATTGTTTCAGTGTTATTACTAATATAGATAAGATAACAAGCTGGCATTGCAACTTCTACTGTGAAATTAAGCAATTATAAATATTAGCTTGAGTTTCTGGTCCAACCGATGGTTTTCCGTGAAGATGCATTCAGAATGAATAAAAGGCATAATGAGGGCACCGTATGAATCACTGACATGAATGAAGAAGATGAAAGTAGTCAGTGATCAGTGTGGAGAAAGAGCACTTGTGTCACTGCATGAGAGATGGATATCTGAAGAAGACTTCAGGGAGTTTGGAAAAACTAACAGATTCCCCACACAAGAAATCAATTTAGCTCACAAGTCCAGTGGCATGTTCAATAAATGTACATTAGGAAGAGAACTTTCAAAAAGAACAACTAAAAAAAATAAAAATAAAAAATAAAAGAAAAAAGAAAGTGTTACTTCTCTTAATTGCAATAAGAGCAGAGATGTTAGCAAGTCCTAACTTGCAAAATCGTTAAATAATCACCCCGAGTACATTGTTAGATATATAGAGATTGGATTGGACAGCCCCTTGATTTTTTGTTTTCTTGAATCACCATTTGATATTTGTTGGTCAAATCTTATTTAATAGCTGACTAGCCAATGGTCCTGTGTATGGCTAACTTAAATGGTATATAGTAGTCATTTTTGGTGTTGCTTTTCATAGGATCCGGGCTCGCCCATCTTGCTTACTTCCTGCTGAATCTGTAAGGAAAGAGGAAACGGAAAACATGAAAATGGAAGTACATCTATCCCCAAATCAGCCTAATGAGTGCTTCTCTCCAGCAGGATGCCTCGATAGCCCTGTTGATTCTGGACCATTGGCATCTGTTAATTGTTCAGGACCTAAGATCTCAAATGGTGGGGAAGACTTATCATTCTCAACTGATTCTGTTGACGCTAGAGGGGATATAGTGATGGTAGATTCTGAAGCAAGTCCTTCAATTGTCAAGGATGTTGAACGTTTACACAGTAATGGGTGCTTTGTCACACCTGGAGAAGTTGATTCAATTGCTGAACAAGCTCATGAACCAGCCACTGGAAATATTTCAATGACTTGTACAATTTCTCCTCAGTCTGGAGTTTACAACATTAAACCATCCTCCCCCATGTCTGATGTTGAGAATGTAAGTGGGGGCAGCAATGACATGAATGAAGGTTTATTTGAAATTTCCGGTGAAGCTTATTCCAATACTCGGAACCATATCTCCGAGAAATGCAATACAGCACATGATGTATCAGCCATGGCAGTTACCAGTGACAAAGCCCACGATGAATTGAACTTTACTCATTCATCTATGCCTCAGATTGCCAAGTCTGAAAATAACATATCATCCCCTCATGGTATTCAAGATGTGGCAAAGAAATCTAATGGATTGAGTTCTTCTGGAGCAAAGTTGAAGCCACTTCTTGCTCCTGGTTTTCTTGGCAAACGCCCAAGAGACAAATGTGTCAAGAAAGAAGGTATCCTTGAAGTAGCATCAAATAGCCACCTGAATAGTCAAACAAATGGGATCGTCAAACCCAATTTAACATGTCAAAATGGTTATTTGTTGCCAGATGAGGAGAAACATTATTCTGGTCGAAGCTGTTCATCTGATAATTTGGATGGGCAAACAGGGATATTTGACAATGACACTGAAATGGCCTCTGTTGAACCTGATATGGCTATAAGCTTGGAAAACCGAGTTTCAAGGGATCCAATAGCATTTTGTAATGGAACTGGAATTGACAAAACCAGTGAAAGGCTAAGGGTAGGAGGACAAAGTCTGATTCATCGTGGCAAATACCATGGATAAATGGAGGTAGGAACTTAAATTGAATTGGCAGGTTCGTGAGGTTGACACAGAGTATGAATTATCACTTGTATGTATGCCTCTTAGTTTTGTAAGTCTTGAGTAGAATCTTCGGACAAAGGTTTGAACCTTCACAAGTGGCTGTCTGCAGGAAATTACGCTACCATAGTTCCATGTAAGTTGGAGTTTACTTGCTTATGTCGTACTGGTGGCTGAACTGCTTAATTGTGCTTACACATTGTTTGGCTGAATCAGATAACTATCAAGTGTCAACCATGTAAGTACTAATTCCGTGAATGATATTTCATAATCAATTCTGGGGTAGCATTTTTTTCCTGTTTATATTAGTTGATGATCATCACCCAAACTGGATGTGATGGGATTTTTGTCCATGGTTTCGTTGTTTACAGAAATCTTGGATGCTCTTTGTACCTGTTTAACTTGGACTCCTTCAATTGAAATGGAATAACCTAATTGCTTAGTTTTGGAACTTCCATTATTATTTGTAGAGCCTTAGATTGAAATATTGCTTACGGTTTTTATTTTAACATCACGACTGCAATATTTTTCACCATATTTATTGCTTGTTTGGTAAGGTACACAGGAAAAAGGGTACAAATTATGTCAATCGTAGTATTGGGTTATGTTCAATGTTTGTTTTAGGTGTGTCAAAACTCTTTCGAGGACATGCACTTTGGGTAACACAAAATTCGAATTTGTACATTTATGGCATGTTGGTAGGTGAGGACAAGTGATTTTAGCCAATCACATCTCAATATCTCATCAAACTTACGATGGACTAACCAGTTTTTTGGAATCTCTTTGCTATAAATGGTAAATACACATATTCCCGTGAGCTTGTGGGATTCACGTGTCAAGTACAGGGTCGTGTCTTGGTCAGATTGTATTCCTCTCTTCTTATCGCCAATTATTCATGGTGATGCTCACTAATGCAATTTCTATTTGCTTTTTCTTCTTTTTTAAAAGAAAAAAAATGGAGATTTGCTCTTTGCCAAGTACAAAAAAAAGTCTTGCTAGTAGTGAAAATGGTGGCCTCCAATTGTTACTTCATTGGTTGTATAATAAAATTCTAGACTTGTTCCTTTCTAGCAGTCTTTTTTTGTCCTTTTTGTCCCCTTTCTTTTTTGGTTTTGCATGCTCGATGGAAGAAACCAAAGTACATAAACATCAATAAGGGCACTATTATTCTCCTCTGATTTTCATTATGTATTTTTTGTTAGGCCGACTCTGTATCATTGAGATTAGAGTACTTCGAGCAAAAATATTTTCCATAGGCATTCTGGTTTTTTTGTAGTCATATTTGAACAGTGTTCATATTTCATATCGATCTTCTGTATCCGATTTCTGTTTTTGCTTCGCATTGAGCTTCAAGTTGTTCCAGAAATACTTTTTCGAATTACATTGCAAAATAATGTTGATTTGAGTTGGGCAAGCATTAAAATCGAAATCTTGATAATGAGTACTGAAAGGAGCTTGAGACCAATCAACCTCTCCCCGGTCTGCATTGCATATACTTGCCTCTATGTGCATAGGCCTCCACGGATAATCCACTCTGCGTCCTTCATGGTTCTTGAACCCTCTAATGGAACTTGGAATCACATAAAAAAAAACATTCTAATGTTGCTTATGTCAAGTTTTGGCACTTTGCTTCCTAATAATTTGTGGTCTAGCTTGCACGAAGAGTAATAATTACGAAGCTTGCATGGATTTTGTTACATAAATAATGCTATTTAGTACCATTTGCGTTTAACACAATCTACGAGACGATATTTATCACGATAATTTGACAGCTTTTTAGTAGCTTTTGATAAAAAATGATGAAATGGGTCACCATGAAAAATATAAAAAAATAAATTTTTAGCGACTTTGGCTGTGTTCAAAGCACCGTTGGTTATTTTTAACACCACTTATGATATTTTAGTTAGTATTCACTGTCGAATGTGTTTCAATGATCATCAACAATATCACTATTGTAATTCTATCTGAATCAGAGACATATACTAATTTCAAATAAAATAATCAATAATCATACTATCAACTATTACAATAACTTCTTGTTCATGATTCACATCAAGTTCACTCACAACATTGATGTTGATAATCGTTGACGAATATTTGTTGATAATCATCAATAATATCACTTACTGTCTTAAATGACAAATTAATGTGAATTCCAATCAAATCGTCAATCATCATTCATCACCAACAAAACTTTTGTAAGTACTATTTGTTCTATCAAATATTTATTATTGTTTTCGAAAATGTTCTCGTACTTATTTTGCCCAAGGCCTCAAATTCTTAAATTTATTTATTTTTAAATCTTATTTGCTGTTAAATTTTGACTTTCTATAAACCATTTGTCTTGTTCACGACAAAAGCCTGCTGAGACTCCGCCCAAGCATGGGTATAGCGTAGACAATGTGATCATGCATACATAAATTATTATGTTAACAATTGTATATATATATGCAGCACAATCGTCTTTTATGAATAATGCTATTTATACGTAAAGAAATTAAATAATAGTTTTGATTATGTTAGTTGTATATAAAAATGGTACATTAGGGATTACATAAAGGGTGTAGAGGAAAAATAATGAATGAAAAAGTTGACTTTATTTTAAATTGACAAATGATAGAGTGACATGTAGCATTATGCAAACTTGATATACATGTAGTAAGGTCTAATTTTGTTCAAACACAGACGAGATATCAAAAAGGAGTACTTCAAAAAAGATGTCAAAAAGAGAGTGAACAAATTTTTTTATTTGGTTGAAAAAAATTATGATCCAATCATATTTCATCACATCATGTGTAAGTCAACTATTATGTTAATTATTACGTACATATAGCGCAATCGGTGAAAAATTATGATTATGTACATGTAGCACAATTGATAAACTATTATGAACTATCATGTAATTTTGAGCCAATCATATTTCATCATGTGTTAACCATTATATACATACATGAAGCACATATGTTCTTTTATTACAAGCATAGCCAACACATGCTCCTTAGTCTATTAAGCCACGTTTGACTACTGCTAGTGATAATAAAAGCTAACTTATAAGACATGGACCCGCCACATTGTGTTGACTCACTTTTTTTGCTTATAAAACGTGGAATTCATTTAAATACAAGGACCCACCTCTTACAAATTGTCCAAAAAAAAAAATGCTCAATAGATTTATAATTTTTTGAACAATTAAACTACTTTGCCCTAAATTGTTTTTTAACACAATATTTTGACATCCTCTCACGCGCGTCGGTCTCGTTTGAATAAAAAAATTCAAAAAAAGTGGGCCCTTTATTTGTGAGTATCAATCAGATTGTATGTCAACTATCTTCGAGCAAAATAGCATTGGTTGTTTTTTGACGGAATATTGTTTTTAATCATGATGAAACATTAATTATGCAATAATTTATATAAAATAATGAGATTAGAAAGTTTAATTTTTGTGTGAGGGAGACGAGATGCGGTCTTAAGAGAGAGAAGCACGAGAGATGATGAATTATCATATCATCAATATTTTATCATGATGATGATAAATATCATTACTCTTTCTAAAAAGTAAATTTGGATTCAGGTTAATACATATGACTAAAGATAAAATTTAAAAACTGACGAAATCTTGCGTAACAAACATGCCCTTACGAATTCTCTGGAACTCTCTCGATAACCGCATTAAATAAACACATGTACTTTAAAATAAAATAAAATAAACAAATCATATCCGTATTTGAAGCACCGCGTCATAGTCAAATAGATTCAGTTCAGTTCAGTTCATTACATTTACTTTCCAAAACCTGCAATGCTCAATAAAATAATGGCGGTTTAGAGAAAGAAAAAGTCTGAAAGGAAGCGAACTTTAACGGTGATTTCTCTTAAAATTCAGTAGCATATCTTTTCCATTTAAGAATGTAATAGAAATATCGGATTTTCTGATTAATTGGTTTTTGTGGTAATTTGTATGGTTAAGTTTGAGATTTAATCTAAACCATAAGGAGTGGTGTTATTTACTCGTTTCTTTCTTGTTAATGTGATGTAAAAAGATTGCTTATAGTGGTGTTAGCAGTGAGGTGATCATTACTGTTATTATTCCTTAAAATCCTCTCTCGAAAGAACTGATTGATCGTTCAAGTTTTCTTTCCCCCCTTTTTCTTTGAAGATTTTGTGCATTTATTGATCTTCGTATAGAAATCAACGCTTCGTTTCATTTCATTTTATTTTATTTTATTTATTTATTTATTTATTTTTAACCTGTAGCAATCGACTAGTAGTTATTGTGCATGTGCGTGTGTTGATTTGGAATGGAGGTAGGATGGCCTCAGCTAGTTGGCTGGAGTAGAAGGTTAAATTCCACTTAAAACAAAAATTTGCAATTGTGAATTTAAATTTGTTTAGTTAGAACTTTGCATAAACCAACTGTTTCCATTCCAATTCCATCATGATGAAAATTTTCAAGTGCCAGTTTGTATCAGGAAGGAACTTTATGCTATTTATTTGAATTTTCCATGATCTAATTGTGACGCCACTACGTGTTTGGCATGAAATTCGTTGAACTTCCAATTTTAATACTTCAATAGTAGTAGGTCTGAAATTAATGCCTATATGTTTAATTAATGGGCTTCCTTGTTTTCTCTGGTTGTACTTTGTCTGTTTGTGTCTATTTTATGATGTTTAAATTGTAGTTTGAGATTATGCATGTACATATCTACGTGTTTACGTGATTGTGTCAAAAGGAAGTTGGAGGTTGTCTCATGATTGTATTACCACAAGCCGGTTGAGACTTGAAACAAGTGATTAAATCTAGCTTCCATCATCGCAAAATCATGGAGATCTACTGTGCAAGTAATTGAGGATCTATTAATGTTAATAGACGTTGCCCTTCATGAGCGTTGATTGTGTTACCTGCTATTTTCCTTCTTGTAGACAAATTGCCAATGTTCCACAAGATTCCTCCGCAACTTTCCATTGCAAGTTAGGTGTCCATTTACTTCCATCACCTAGCTTGATGAGGCTTGATTATATCATCCCAAATTTATATGGAGACCCGTTGGACTAGTAATTAAGGGATGATTTAATTTATGTAGGCCGTGCCCTCTATCAATGTTAATAGTAGTTTCTCGCCATCAATGTTACTAGCCATCGCCTGCATTAATTGCCTTTCCCTGCAGGGTATTTATAAGTTGTAGTATCTCAGTATCTCTTTTAGTGAAAATCAATTCCAATCAATCTTGATGATAGATTATTTTCATGTCCTGAGAGGCAAAGTTCTACTCCGGCATATAATTCAGCTGGATTCTCACTTTCTATTCTTCTCTCAGACAATGACAGATTGGTCTAAGTTACCTGCTGATGTTTTGGGGCTTATTGCAAGACGGCTGCATTTTGTGGAAGATCGTCTGAGGTTTGGCTTGGTCTGCAAGTCATGGAGAATGGTTATGCTTCAAACGGATAGATTTTCGTGCTCTCTGCTTCCTTGGTTGATGCTGACAGAGAAGGAAGAAAGTGATATGCGACGAGTTTACAGTCCTTTCAATGATATGGTTTATGAGCTTTCTTTGCCAGAAATCTGTGGTAGGCGATGTTGGGGTTCACCTCATGGTTGGTTGGTTACTCTGGATGTTGCATATAATATGCATTTATTGAATCCCCTGTCGCGTGTCCAAATTTTTCTCCCACCACTACATAAATGCTCAAATCTGGAAAATCTCGTTTGCTGTCCTGAAACATTTCGCAATACATATGTGTATAAAGCTGTTCTGTCTTCAGATCCATCTTCAGCAAACTGTGTAGTTTTGGCAATCTATTCTGACAATAAGATGGCTTTTACAAAGCCAGGTGATGTAGCCTGGACCCCATTGCACTGTGGTCCTTCATTTGTCAGTGATGTCATTTATTTTGGTGGGAACTTCTATGCTGTTGATTCGTCTGGAAACATTACAATCTGTGATTCAAAAGGCTCTCATTTAAAGACCGTATCTTTACCAGTACAAGAGGTAGATAATGAGCTTGGTGAAACCTCTATATATCTTGTGGAGCTAGGAGGTCATATACATGTGGTCCAAAGAATTATGTATGACACAAAAATTTATGATCTCCCAGTTCTCAGAACATGGAATTTTGTAATTTACCGGGTGGATGTCTGCAACGAAAAGTGGGAGGAAGTGAAGTCTTTGGGTGACTGGTCTATCTTTATTGGAAGCAATCATTCTTTCTCCATTTCAGCTTCTGATTACCCAGAGTGCCTTAGGAATTGCATATATTTCACTGATGACTATTCTGGACTGTATTACAATACTACAACTTACTTGACATATGACATAGGTACCTATGACTTGGATGGCCCCAGGATACAAACTTTTCTTCGAGAGGATGTTTCTCGTTTCAACTTTTCTCTTCCGGTTTGGATCAAGCCCAGTGTGAGGTAAGTTTCACCTCATATAATTTTCTTATTTATTCCTTTTTATTATTATTTGCATATGTGCGATTTATTATGTTAGTTCATAAGATTCCTTTAAGGCTTTGGGATGCATGGATCATGCACACCACTATCATGGGCGTGATAGTGGAAACAGTACGTTCAAGTTGGTTGAATGTGTGAATTTTGACGGTTATTCTTTCATTTATTTTTCAAGCAGCCTCCTTGGGGTGAAGCAAACAAGATCCTTCTCCGTCCCATATTGTTACTTTGGCTTAATAGCTCAATGTTCTGTGCATGTAGCACATATTTTTTTGTGCTCATAGTTTTTTATGAAATCATGTTGTTTTGTAACAAAATCTAGTGGTTTTATGGCAAGGCTTTAGAGATTGGGATGATTAGTATTTTTCCTAATGCAAAATATAGCCTGTGCCTCAGAACAACTACAAAGTACTCGGGGACTTTGAAGTAAAAGAGAGACAGTACCTATTTCTTTGTTCGAAGATGCAACCCTTTAGACGCCTTAAAACTGAAACCTTGTATCCCATGTGAGTTAAGATATTCTATGGTCCAATTTGAAATATCCAAGGTAGTTTTCATGCATTGGCGATACCTGTTATGCAAAATATCTGTTTTTTCTTTGAAGCATGGTGATCTTCATAGGTTGGAGTGAACATGTGTTCAACGTGACACTTGGCGTATCCCCTATTTTTTTTTTGTATTTCTGAAAAGCAAGCATCAATTCCTTGAAGCGCAATGAGCACGGGTGCAACCCTCCGAGTCTCAGGTCTCTATCTGTCTTCGTGGTTCTCTTTGAAAATGCCATCCCAGTTGTGAAACATGGGTATCATGTGGTTCGCTTTATGGTCGTTTATGTCTCACAGATTATGGTAGGGTTGTAAAATAGCCGGGTCAATTTTCTAGGTCTGCAAATTGTACTCGGCAACCAACCTAGTCTAATATCACTTTTTATTTTGTGCTGTATTAATAGATTATGGATGATTACATGTGTTTTATCTCATTGATACTGCTTGAATTTCTTGTGTCTTGTGCTTTTTCTCAATCCTGTATTTCTCCCCCATATATCTGCCACCAGATCTCAAGCCCCTTTTTTTCTCATTACAAATGGCTCCTTATTAACAATGTTCATATGGAGCTTAAAAGATTGGCTTTCAGCACCAACAGAATTCCTATCAAGGCGTAACCCCTTCTTAAATTTTTATCCTCTCAGTTCGACTCCCATCCAAAACATGCAACAAACATGGATACATATTGGTGCTGCATCAGAAAGCCTTGCTGGTGCAAATAAGCTATCAATGTAACAATTGTAGGGTGCTGCTCAGGTATTGCTCTTTCAGAGTGAAATTCTGATTGAGATGTGAGATTTCTGGAGGAATTTTGTTCTATTTTATTTTATTGCCTTATGTGCAGTTAGACAGTATATTGAACAAAATAATGAAGAAAACTCTAGTAGTGTTGTTAATTGAAGCTCTAAACATGATATAAACATGCATTGACGTTGATTGACCTCAATTTATTCTTATTTACGTCTTGGATCCTTTTGAGTGTAAGTAAACGTTCATTTGGTAGAATGTTTTGTAGGAATTATAAAACAAGAATAGATTTATTTGTACATTTATTTATAGCATCTTCCCAAATCTCTAGAGGGCTTTTTAAAACTGCGGCCATCAAACAAGTCTTGTTAGCAAACAGAAAATGGAGGTTCATCAGTGATAGGAACTAGGAAATGATTTTCCAAGAGTTTGTTGGGAAAGGAAGATCTTATTGTGGAAGGTGGGTATTCTTAATTGTGGCCTTATAGTGTACGCTGCTGAATGCAGGACCTGGAAGTTATTGTCTTGACTAAATTATGGTGACTGATATGCATCAAATCCTTCACCTTTATATGCTAAATAAGTTGAGAGTCCGGCCACAGCTTTATGCGAGTTTGAGGCATGAAAGAAATCTTTAATCTGTCTTTCCTTGAAGGGTTAATAGACAGAATCTTGCATGGTGTCATTTCTAGGTAGGTGTAAATGTGTAGTGTCGTATTAGTTTGCTTTATATGGCATGAAAGCTTTGAATTCATTGACGTGCAATTTAGCAATTTGGAACCTTCGTTATCTAGATGACTGACAGAAATATTTGGTTATTACTTTTGTTTTACTAGATCAAATGGAGTGTGGAATAGAAAGAGCAGCAGCAGGTGGATACAAGTTGAACAAGTTACTGATGTGACGAAATGAACAACTTATGACGCTTGTGAAGATATCGCACCTTGAAAATGGTCTTCTTTTTGTTGTTGCTTGATAAGACAAGTGGAATAGGTGCTAAAGCTATAACTATTTTGTATTTTGATATGTAGTCGAATAGATCGACTCTGGATCTGAAAGGTTTGACTATGGGTTTGCATGTGATACAGCTTTCTCTTTGTAATCCGAAGATTGTATCTGATAGCAAAAGCTTTTGTGGTGAAGCTAATGTTAACGTGTTTATCGCTGTATATTGGATTCTGTTAGAATTTTATTGTATTGGCAATTCTTTAGATAAAATGGCTAATGTGAAAAGTTGTCAAAGTGAGTCAATTGGAATATGGTATAGATGAAATAGGAAATTTAGTGTTCGAGTTTGGAACAACAAGGAGAGTCATTAGAATTATGCAAGCCTATGACCATTTGATACTCGAGTGGAAAAATAGTAACTTGTCATGCGCTTGTTGTTGAGCTATAACTCAAGTGACGCACCGTTTGCTAGCCTGGCGATAGAGCGACGGTATTATGTGCAAAACTCTAATTCGCGTTTTTCAATAGTTATAATTGATCCAAGTTATCTAAATA